ATACTCAAATCTTGACTTGAGAGCTCAAAGAATAATAAGCACCGGAAAAGTGTACTGGAAAAATTAGTGCTTAATTAGACCAAGAGGTTACACGGCAAGGTTATAGGCTAATCAAATGGGAGCTACTTAACCCAAAAGAGTAACACGCACTAGCACAAGACACTAGTACTTAACGTGCACGTACTAGCAGAAACTTTTTCAATGGAGAAGAACTACACTGCCTGGAGCTGATTTCACTTGTCAGGAACTCTAGTCACCTGTAGCGCATAGAGCTGCAAGACTACCAACAACTGAAAACCACGATTATACCTCTGCAAAATTGCACAAAGCAATTCTGCTATTTGGAAGTCACACAACAGCTAGAAGAGGATAAACTGAATCCTAAGACGGTCGCTCCCGGCGGCGAGACAGAGAACATCAGGTGCTCTTCCCTTCCACCACGCATACAAGAACTTCCCTAGAAACTACTGCGACCTCAAATTGAATCAAAAACAGGGGAAGAACTCAGTATGAACTCGCACAAAATAAATCACGAAAGTTAAACTCCTGCGCCATCCTCAAGAACCCATGAATAAATGAATAACAACCAGATTCAAAGCTAGGGATGGATGCACATGAATTTAGACATGATTTTCCATCAAGGAAACCCCGTTATAGCCAAGGAATCACAGGGACAAAACTAGTACAGCAGAAAAACGAGATTTGCAAGGACAAACAGCATACCTCGACAATAGTAAGGCTGGGAACAATTTGAGGATTTATTTCTCAGATTTCTGGAGTTACAAGCCTCTCTCACATAGGCTAAATCCCACACAGGAAGCTCTATCTCAAATGTGCGGCGGCTGCTCTGTTTTTCTCCTCGTAGCGGCGGCTCCTCTGTTCGTGCCCACAAGGGAAAACCTAGCAGCTCATATATAAGGCTGGATCAGCCTTCCACCGCCATTGAATGGGCCATGGTTGCCACCGAATGGGCCAAGCCCAAAACACTAAAAGAAATAGCCATTTTTACTTAGCCACTTGTAAATAACATTTTCCACTCTTAAGCAACACCACAATCACTCTCTTGGTTTGCTTGTTAGTGGATTTTGGTAAACATACCAAAATAACCTTCACTTGACATGGTCTTCTCCTTTGCCTCCATATAGTCCTTGTCCAAAACTTGTGCGTTGCTTTGAGCCGCACGATCCCGCACAGCGTCCATGGTCACATCTTAGCTCTTCAAGCCTTATGCCAACCATCCTCATTGTCGACTACCGCCGCACTCACTGGAACCTGCACACAATGGAAACAAGCAACTATTGCGAGCACAAACTTCCTGAGCTTGACCCAAGTCAATCCAAATTAACAGTTTAATACAATCAACACCATCCGGATAAGTCACATAAAATAGATCACGTCCTTGATCCGACAAACTGTGATTTTCAAACTTCATTAAAATAACTCTCAAAGCGAGCAAAAGCATTGGCAATATAATCATCACAAAATTAAGGGTATCACCACATGGACTCACATGCTCAAATTGCCCATTTAGTGCACTCTAGTAACGAATGCCTCCAAGAGTCTGGAGACCCACGCATTGCGCAAGAACTTGAGTGTGACATGTGTCTTTGCGCCCTTACATCGCTTGTAGGAATTAAGTGTTTTGATAAATGCCACAAGAACATACGAACCTTTCCCGGAACTTGAGTTTTCCACAAGTTTCTCCATGCACTCTCACCAGCAGCTGAGCTAGAGGGGCCAACCATGTTCTCCAGCCACGCCTCCCTCCGCTGTCTTGTTGACACCAACATCCTGTAAGCCGGTTTTACCTAAAAATTTCCACTGTTTTCATAGCTCCGACTCCAAAAATCAGAGATGTTCCTTGTACACAAGGGTATCTCGAGTATGACAGGGACATCCATTGGCATGAACACTTCTTCCACCCTATGCTTGTTCCATGACGTTGAAGTAGTGTCAATTAGTTCTGAGACTAAAACAAGGGGGATCTTGGGTGATACACCCGTAGGGTCTCATCATCTCTACCCTAGGTAACCAGTTGTCATCCCATATTCGTGTGGTTGCACCATTACGAATGCGCTTAATCAGGCCCAATCTTAGAGTAGCATGACCCTTTATCAATGCCCTCCACACCTGACTTGGGTGACCGCCAAAAGTTGCACTCAAAATTGTACTATTGGGATGATATATGCTTTTCAGAAGTCGAGCACAAAGTGACTCCGGTGATTGTAACAAGCGCCAAGCATGTCTGACCAACATAGCCATATTGAATAGCTCAAAATCCTTGAAACTAGGTCCGCCCATGCCTTTCGGTCGCGTCATTGTTTTCCACGAAACCTAGTATGGTTTGCACTTGCCTTCTTTACTTCCCCACCAGAATTTTCTGATTAGCATGTTCAAATGCTCACATAAGCCTCGTGGAAGTTTAAAACAGGATATAGAATAAACAGGCACTGCATGTGCAACGGCTTTCGCTAAGACTTCCTTCCGTGTTGTGGGCATGATGTTCGCTATCCATCCCTGTATCTTACTCCATAGGTGATCTTTAAGATATTTGAATGCTCCGTTCTTAGAGCCACCAATGTCGGAAGACATCCCCAAATATTTCTCGTTAAGCGTCTCATTTGGCACTTGCAGTATGGTCTTGATCTCATTGCGGGTATTCTACAGGACCCCTTTGCTGAAGAAGATTGAGGATTTATTATAAATTATTTGTTGCCATGTTGCCTGACAGTATGTATCCAGAACAGGTTCACCTCATTAGCACTCACACTATTTGCTTTGATAACCAACAGGTTGTCATCAGCAAATAAAAGATGATTTACTAGTGGCACTGATGGTGCCATTTGCAAACCATTCAAAATGGGTGACCCATTTTTGATTTTAGGAGGCACGACAGGCCCTGTTGCTAACAAAAACAAGTACGGGAATATTGGGTCCCCTTATCTGATTTCTCTTGCAGTTTAAACTCCTCAAACTTCTTACTATTAAAATGGACAATTTTTTTTACAGTAGTCACCAAACTCATGATAATACTTACCCATCTTTTTCGGAATCCCATCTTGAGCATAATTGTCTGTAGGTATGGCCATTAGGATCCCTAGCGAACAGCGTCCCAAGCGCACCCTTTGTTGGGCCAGGCCCAGTAAGCCTTCGCGTGAGCGACATGGAGGAGATCTAGCGCTAAAGCCGCCACATAAGACCACCTCTCGCTTATAGCGAGAAGGCGTATCCCCTCATCCTAAATAGGTTAGCCCATAATCACGCATGCACACATGAGCATGAACATTAGTTTGTTAAATATATTTAAAAAATATTCTAATTACGTATACTTAGAAAATTAATTTATTTGAATTTTTAAAATGCACACGGTGCATTATAAAACACTTGACACGGTGTAAAACATTTATTTGTACTGTTTAAAAAATATTTGTATCATTCAAAATTTGTTCCTGACATTTAAAAATTATTCACATGTTAAGAAAACGATCATGGTATTATACAAAAATGTTTAAACAATGTAGCCACCTACGTTCTCGCTTAGTTAAAAAATATTTCATACCATCTAAAACTGTCCGTGAAATTTTAAAAAATGTTCACAGTTTAAAAAATGATTGTGATATTTTATAAAAGTGTTTATAAAATGCAAAAAAATGTGACTAGAAAATAGTTTTTACCATCCATAAAACTGTCATGACATTTTTTAAAATGTCCATTGTTTTTTTAAAAAACATTGTATTGAAAAACATGTTTATACAATGTAACAAATGTTTATATAAGTTTATAAAAAGGTTTGCTACCATTCAAAAACATGTGCATGCCATTTTAAAAATGTTTCACAGGTTGCAAAAAATATGTTCATGATTTTTGAAAATGGTAATATAATGTGAAAAAATGTTGTTGGTCTCAAAATGTGTGCCGCGGGCGCGTGGTTGGTCTCGGAATGGTCAATGCAAGGCAACGAGGAGAATCGACAACTACGAACGGATGTAAATTTTGAAAAAAGACGACAACAGAGTACCGACACAATGCAAATGATGCGATGATGAATGCAACAAACAAATAATGAACGCGGCTATCATGAAAACATGAAAGGCAACTGGAGCGTCAGTCTCGAGTTGTTACAGCTATGTCTTTACGGGTCACCGTTGTACCTTTATTGAGGCAGATACAAGTCAGCATAAGGGCATTGATATTCCGTTATTGATGCAACTATGAGAATGAGAGACTAAAGGGTCATTGTGCAGATGGATTGCTCTACTCTAGTTGACCCGTGGCATGACTCGGGTGCCCTCCGGGTCAATGATACACATATGATAAGAAAATCAAGCAGATGTCCGAGTCTTTTCGGTTTGAGGCTTCTTTGGATTCGTTGTGAAGCAAACTGGGCGGCGCACCGTTGCGCTAATGAAGCTCTTAGCATTTTTTTTACATGCTTTGATGTAATTCCTAAATTTCTGATTAGAACCATTCAGTCAGATTATAATATCTTGTCAGTTTAATTTTTTTTTGAACAAGCTTGTCAGTTTAATAAAGACAACCTTAAATCAAAACTGCCACATTTATTTTAGGTAAAGAGGGAGTAGCTACCAGCCCAGAAGATATACTGCCACCACACCCAAACAGCAACACCATTCAGCCCACCGAACCATTTCCAGCGCCAGAAAAGAGCTGCTCATTTTTCTCTCTCGTTGTCCAGTCTAGCGTCGCCGTCGGTTAGCCATAGCCAACCCACGGCGGCCGGCCGGCCAAGCCCACGACTGCGACCATGATGGATGGACAGGTGACACCGGGAATATTTAACCAACAAAGCTCTAGCTTAATCAAACGGAATGATCCTTCCGCCGCGGCATAATGCTGCACCTTGATTCCCCCGCCAGCTTCCCCCCTTCCTCGGCGAGGTCGCGCCGGCGCCTCCCGATTCCCTTCACCTGCTTCCTCCCGTCACCTCACGCCAATGCACCCACATCGCCGCGTCCCCGTCTGTCCCCGTCAGACCCCCCATGGCGATCGAGACCCCGCCACCCGCATCCCCGACCGCCTGGCCCGCTTCCCCGACTGGCCGCACCCTCTCCGCGGCCTTCGCCGACGACCGCCGCCGCGAGGCCAGGCGCCGCGCCGTGCACCTCCTCCCGGGCTGCGGCAGGCCGCCGCAGCCGCGCTCCAATCTCGTCAACCGCGTGCTCCACCGCTTCGGCGCCGCCTGCGTCCCTAAGAGCACCGCCGCCACCCCCACCCGGACGCCCCCGCTGCCTCGGCGGTCGTCAGTGTCGACGCCCCCGCGGCCTCGGCCGTCGTCGGCGTCGACGCCGCCCACGTCAACCCAGGTACCGGCACGCCTAGACCAGGCAGACGCGGAGAGAGTCGCTGCCAGGAGGCCTTTGAGGGAGAGAGAGGACGCCGCCGCCGTCGGAAGAGAGCCGACGCCGCCGGTGTCCCAAGCCAGTGCCGTGGCGGCCACCGAAGTGGTTGCCAGCCTTGCGAGCAACTGGAGAAGCGATACCGCCACCACCGTCGGGAGAGGAGCAAACATCTGGGTGAGGGTTTCGCGCAAGCCGAAGTCGCCGCAGGTGGACTCTCCGCAGCTGTCAGTGGAATCAACAGCGGCGGCGGAGGATCAGTACGTGTGGGCGGACAGGTACCGGCCCAGTGTGCTCGGGGAATTCATATGCAACAAGGCCGTCGCCGATGAGCTCCACCGGATGGTTGCCACACACCCTCCCACTTTAATCTTACACGAAATTACCACTGCTTTGAATTCCTTCGTCACTGTAAAACTGTAGCTAAGCACTAGAATGGAGTGATGAACTGATGATAGGCACACTGTGATGACATGCTGAATTGGGATTTGAGACTGAATTTTGTGATAACTGCTGCATCCAGGTGACTGAACGCCAATGCAACCATTTCATATTTGAAGGGGCGCAGGCTGTCGGGAAGAGAAGCATGGTGCTGGCCCTTTTAAGAGATGCTTTTGGTCCTGATAATCTCAAGGTCACTGTAGCCAGCCTTTGAACAAATTACTATTTACTTTTTATCCTGAGGTAAACCTGAGTGCTTGAAACTCGCGAATACCTTATTTGTATTGCCATTTCACAGATAGAGGAAATCACAAAGAGAATCGAGCTGAAGGTATGAATTGCAACTTGTAATGGCGCATTTTCTGTTTCATCAGTAACCTTATTACCGTGAAGAGGATAATATTCTTAAGTAGATTATAAAATTTAATTTATTCTGTACCTTCTTTCTGGTGAACTGTTTGATGTAGGGAGAAATCGCCAAACACATTGATGTTAAAGTGAAGATTTCAGATCATCACGTGGAGGTAAACTTGGCTGATTTACATGGCTATGAGAAGTATGTCATAACTACTTTGTTGAATGAGTCAATCCCACCACCGGACTTGATTTGCGATCATGCTAACTGCAAAGGTACATTCTAACACATCTCTGCCTCTCCTTTTGGCGGTACTGTTGTTAATCAACACAGGATTTTGAACAGCTGCCTATTCTTCGTTGATGTGAAATGACATATTAAAGCGTCAGTGGTTCATATATGCAGTGATTGTGGTCCATGATGCTGATAGGCTTTCGTCTGATCTTCAGCATTATGTCGGTTGGTTTTTGGGGAGGTATGCAGGTTGCAACAAAATTATTTTCAGCTGCTCCAGTTCTTCAAACCTTGATGCCGTTGAACATTTATGCAAGGTTGTCCGACTTAAACCACCTTCATTTGATGAGGTACATACTAGGTCTGTATGAATGATTTGTCTTCTCTCCAGTGCTGGACAGTTTGATGAATACAGAATTTCTCTTAGATAATCAAGGTTCTAGAGTTCATTGCTACACAAGAAGGCATAGATTTGCCTCGTGGACTTGCCAGTAGAATTGCAGCTAGCGCGAGTAATAATCTCCGACAGGCAATACGCTCTTTTGAAGCTACATGGAAAGCAAAGTAAGCACATGGAATGATTTCCTCATTCATTTCATATTCAGATTGTAGAAATGCCATAATAGCAGTCCATTTTGAAACTGCAATGTGCCAGAGGTACAATATTCATTTTGAGTAGAAGTCAACTGATCCATCAAGGTGTGTTGTTTCTGTTGTAGCCATCATACCACAAAAGTTTCATCCTCATCAGCATGCTTGCTTATAACTGTCTGTTCGCATTGTTATAACTACCACCATGGGTACTGAATCATAGGGCTTTCCATATTCATAAACAACTCTCTTAACCAACACAGCTATCCATTCACGAAAGACCAGCCCATTTTGACTGGATGGGAGGAGGAAATTTATGATGTTGCCAAAAAAATCATGGAGGAGCCAAGTCCAAAGCAGTAAGCTATCCCTTTCACTATGATGGTTTGCAATTCAGTACGCGCGAGCTTCTTTTTTGAACTTCAGAATGAAAACATAAATTTTGCTGAATGACCTTTACACAGGCTGTATCTCATTCGGCGGAAGATCAGAAAAATGATTGAACATAATGTGTCACCTTATTTCATTTTCTGTGTAAGCTCTACTTTACCTTGTGTTTATGTGTTCTTTGTGATTCCAAGAGTCTGGCCGAGGTTCATTTTTGTCAGAGCTCATTACTGTTTGTGATTTTCCCTTTTGCTTTGTGATGCAGCACTTGGTTAATGAACTGAAAAGGGACAGGGATGAAGATTTTCAGAATAGCATCGATGAACTGGCACTGGAGTTGAACCAAGTGAGCCCGTCTACAAGCATTCCTTTTTCTTAAGCTGGACTGCGCGCATATTAAGTGATACTACTTCCCATCCGTAATAAAGTGACGCGGTTTTGAACTAACCTCAGTTCAAAACTGTGACACTTATTTTGGATCGGAGGGAGTAGGTTATTTTCTATTTGTGAACTAGTCTACTGTGTAAGTGTGCGCTAATATATATTGCTTGCTTGTTTCAGAACGAGCAGTGCAAAGAATACAAATCTCAGGACACAATTTCTGACAAAAGAGCTATCAATATAGAAGGTTTCGCTGTTGAAGGCCCGGACCAAGGGGAAGCCATCCAATGCTTCATAAAGATTGAAGGTACAAGCCAAAAAAAAAAAAAAACTGGTTCATTCAATCAATCATGAACTGTGGTGTAAAATGACTATACTTTGCAATTGCAGAATTCACTGTGAGGTTCATGAGCTTCTACAGATCTTTAATAACGAAGAACTCAAGCAGAGGCGGTGTTCCTTCATGAAGAGGGTGGAATCACTCTCTCGATCAACAAATCCTCTAGCGCGAGCGAGTGTTGTAGCAGTGTTGATAAATAAGCAGTGGTGTGCCTCTGAAGTCTGAATCAAAGCACCTCGGCGTTGCTTTGCATGTTAAGAAGGAAAACATACCTTTTTTTATCCGCCCCGTTTGCGTGTATACGTGTGAATTGTGATTATGCACACAACTCTGTATACGTGTGAATTGTGATATTGTGGTTTGTACAAAAATCAACTTCATATATGATAATTTGTGTGATCTGAGAATAATGTCGTACGACTGTATATTAACAATGTTTTCCCCTTTCTCGAAAGGTATTCCTTGCCTGGTACTGGTGTAATGCATTGATACTAGACTTAGATGTGCAATACTTAGGGCACATTTAGATGTGCTTTAGCAAAATCGTTGATAATATCAGGAACCCAAGTTTCTCCATGTGCAAAAGTGCCATATTACTTGTGCTGTTATGCATAATTCTGAAGGAATCTCATTAGCATCTTTGATAGTGTAATAAAATTGCCCATGTGCTAGGTTTAGAACAGACTTGCTTAGTGTTTACTCAGGTCCAGCAGCCGTTCAGTCCCCTGTTCATCTTCTAAATAGTTGCAATGAACAATGTAATCACAGTGGTAAGTGAAAAATATCCACGCTTACATTTATTTGGAAATATTTCGGTATATACACACGTCCCATGCATGAACGTACCTAAGCTACCAATTCCTACCAACTACTAGTACTAAAAAGGATTCAACAAAATTTGGAGAACGCGACACACCGGATCGCCACTCAGTGTTGCGTGGCCGGCGACCGTTGGTTACCGGTGGTCAGTTGCCGGAGGTGATGACGTTGTCCGGTGTCCAGTGGCCTCGTGGACCGCCGCTGCAGTGAGGCCACTGTGTCCGTGTTCTTCGGCGAAGGCGATCTCCTCGTTGGGCGGCGCGTCGAGGTCGGTGCGGCAGACCAGACACGTGGTGTGCGCGCCGAGCCACGAGTCGATGCACGCGGCGTGGAAGGCGTGGCGGCAGACGGTGAGCGGCCGGACGGCGTCGCCGGGCGCGAACTCGGACAGGCAGACCGCGCACTCCGCCGGCGCCGCGGAGCCGGCGGCGTCGGCCTCGAACCGCACCGTGGGGAACGAGGCGATGACGGCGGGGTCCAGGCCCGCCGGCTTGCGCGGCGCGGGCGCGGGCTCGCCTTCTTCGCCCGTGGCGGCGTCCGCGTCGCTGGACTGGAGGCGGCGGCGGCGGCGGAGCCAGAGGGAGAAGAAGCGGAGGAGGTCGCGGAGGAGGAAGATGGAGAGGAAGCAGAGCAGGAGGACGAAGAGGAGGAAGACCGGGAGCAGCATGGGGAAGGACGCCCCCTGCTGGGCCGGTGAAGGCGGCGGCGGAGGAGGCCTCGGCAGGTGCGAGGCGCGGACGTCGAGGGCGCTGAGGAGGCGGCGCGCGGCCATGGCCAGCGTATGCATCCGCCGCGGCGACCATGGGGTGGATGGGATCGATGGGCTTTTAGGTGTGGCTCACGCGCGCGCGCATGGGTACGGGCACGGGGCGGAGTGGGGCGAGGCGAGGCGGAGGGTGGTGGGTCGTCGGCGTCGGGCGTCGGTGTCGCTGTTGGTAGGGACGGAGCCGTGAGCTTTACGGCGAGGCGAATGCGACGCCGGGACGGAACGACATGGACGCTCATCATGCATGAACATTGGCCAACCGACCCGACACCCAATCCCATGGCGCTGCGCGCCCGCGTGCTGGTCTTGGCGGGTCATACCCTCATGATATTTTCGAAGTTTCTTTTAGGGAATTTATTACACTGGGTGGTGGGTGCTCAGTTTAGGGAGATATTTTTTTTACTAACAACTAGCTAAATAGTGATAGTTCTGACAAAAAACTAGCTAAATACTCCCTCTGCCCTAAATTATTTGTCGCAGAAAGTCGCGAAAATGGATCTAAACATCTAAACATTCATTTTTGCGACAAATAATTCGGAACCGTAGAAGTAGAATCTACTTCCTCCGTTCCGAATTACTTGTCGCGGGTATGGATGTATCTAGATGTATTTTAGTTCTAGATACATCCATTTTTACGATGAATAATTTGAAACGGAGGAAGTAAATCTTGATCTATCACTGACAGGAAATGTCACATTTTTATCACCACCTGGCACACGTAGTGAGCTATCTCAGACTTAAATATGAAAATTAGTGTCACATCTTATAAAATTACCTTGTACTACTAAATCACAGCAATGAATTTATACACGATAGGTAAATATATTGCACAAGAAGAACTTTGTGTTATTTTTAGGGATGAGACCAGATGCATCGAGACATTGTTGCCGGTGCCCTATAAAATCGGTGCAGGCAAGCTATGCTCCTTCCTTGCATTGTCCACCTATATCTTGGCAGTCCTAGTAAAACTGGATCGGCGACCTAGCGCCCAGTCTAGAAAAGAAAAAAACAAACATGAAAAAAAAGAGAAAATATATAAAAAAGAAAAAATGAGTGAAAACCCAGAAAAAAGAAACAAAAGAAAAAGAAAAAACCGGTTCATAGAAGGTTCTAGAACCCTCTCATAAACGGTGGGAACAAAAAACAAAATGGGGCGACTCATACGCGCGAGGAGGGGTGGTGAGGGGTTCATAATTTCAGAAGAATCATTACCGCAAGACATACAGAGGGTGTATGCGCTAGGTCGCTATACATCGGCCTACACGCCAAATAGGAGCCACGCTATTGGACGTTGCTAATTTACATCCGGGCTTAGGGGATGGATAGTAAAATCATGAAAAAAAAATGTGCAAGATGCTGTTGTGCGTGATGTCCGTGCAAAATTTGATGAAACTTGAACATCTGAGAAGCTCATGGCAAAAAAGACAAAAATATAAATCAGATTTTTTATGTTTTCTGCTATGTTTTTTAGGTTTTACTGTTCATCGAATGCACATGAGGCCGGGCACCCAGCGAGAGCGATAGATGATGGGCCGTATGGGCTGCTGGTCTTCGTGGCCTCTGGAGTGAACGAGGTCACCGTCTTTGGTCGCCTTGTGCTCGAAAAAAATAATGGTCGCCGTCGGATACGTGATGCACGGCCAGCGGCGTCCGACGTCCCTCTGACGGAGAAATAGCTACGCGAGACGATCTCGTTTGAGAGGCGCCGCCCTTTCCCGTCCCTCCCCGCGGCGTGCCGCGCCACGCCTCACCGGCCCTCCAGTCGCTGCCGCGCCTCCCCTCACCCCGCCCCCCAGCTCGCCGCCGCGCCTCGCTCCGCGGCCTCCTCCCGGTCCACCTCCTCCCCCGCGCCTCCTCTGTCCCTCCCGCCCCTCCTCTGCCTCGGCCGCCGCTGCATCTGCAAGCAGCAGCACATTGCGCAGCGTTGACTGCCGTGAGGAATCGTCTACGCTAAAATAAAAGTGCGTCGCCGGCGACGGCGAGCGACCGCGCACGCCGGAGGCAGCTGGCAGGAGGAAAGGGACCGCGGAGAGGAGATGTTCACGAACGCGCAGCGCCAGGTCGAGCGCACTGGCCGCGGCGGTACCCCGAGAGACCAGTACCTTCAGGTTTGCCCCCTTCCCGCCTTCTCGGTCGGGGATTGCCCGGGGTCTCCCAATTCCTCCCGCGATTGTTCTAACTTGTTAACGTACCCGTAATCACGAATTTCCTCAGGATCTTGTGACCCAGTTCCAGGACTCCACGGATGAAGGTAAAAATCTGTTGGCTGATTCGTTCTTCTTTCTTAGGCTTGCACCGGAGTCAAATTTCTGTGTTTTTGTACTAGAATTCGGTGTATTGGTTTTGGTGGAGCTGAAAACAGAAGCTGAGTTCAGTTAGAATTATGGTAGAAATCGTTGTCAGCAGATTGTGCTGCGAAACTGAATTTCGTCGCCGCTCAGTAAAGACAATTGTATAGGGGCCAAAACAAACAACTTAGTGAAGTACTAGTGAAGTTCCAAACGGCACCAAGGAAAAGATGCACAATAGATTCTAAGCTAGACAAAAGGGGTTGTAAGGTTGACGCATGGGCTCTCTAGTGATGTCGTCGACTAGATAGCACAGCAAAGGTTTGGGAATTATCATATGGTATGAAGATAGCTCTACTTTGTCGGTGAAACGCCACAGCTTCAGTGTTATTTATCATATTATGTGCTCACCAAATTCATCAATTTATTTATTTTTGTTTCAGGGTACAAGGAGAGAATTGTTGCAAACCTGTCAAATTTTGCATATGACCCTTATAACTATGCCTTTATGCGCCAGGTTGATGATTCCACATGCCTTTTGTTTCGGTCAATTGCTGCATTTTTTTGGTAGCACTGTTCTGGTACTTTCCTATTCAATGAGACGGTATATATGTTCTGTTCTCTCAGCTGAATATTCTCGAGTTGTTCTTGGACTGCATTACGGAACCAAATGAAAGGCTTGTTGAGTTCGGCGTTGGTGGAATATGTAATTCATGTGTTGGTGAGCAATCTAATGTCTTGAATTCTACGGAATTTTTTATTATTGTGAAGCATGCAAGGTACTTATTCAATGTGTCTATCAAACATATTTTTTCGACGCGGTCATCTTATTTTGAATTTATCATGCAGATCCAGCAAATGCTTCTGTTATTACTCAATGTGGTGGAATCCCGTTGGTTGTACAATGCTTATCTAGCCCAGTTAAGAATACAGTGAGTGTTTCTGAACCTATGAACTGCAATCATAACAGTATAGGTCTTCTTTGTTTTGAAGAGTATTTTTTTTCTGATTGTTTCCTTGCATGTAAATTTCCTCTTGATCGATTAGGCTACTTTGGGTGATGTCTAAAATAAAGGTTACTTCGGGAAGTAGGGCTAAAGGAGAGGAGACATGTGAATTGAGGATATTTAGCCAGGACACCCTCAGTCGCTTGTCTCTCTGTTTCATCCATTATCTTCATTGCATACGTATCAGTCTTTATGTCACTATATGTTCTCACTTCAACATATCCAACATTTCCATTTGATTGGTTGCCTGCAGGTGAATTACGCACTTGGAGCCTTGTACTACTTATGCAACCCGTCGACAAAGAATGAGATATTGAAACCGGATGTACTTAGGATCATAAGAGACTATTCTGCAGCTGGAGCCGTCAACAGCAGCTTCAGCAATCTGGCAAATGCATTTCTGGACAAGCACGTCAACTCGTGACGGCAGTTCAGAACTGCAGATGGTAAGGCATGTAGCATTTCATCTGATAGAGGACAGACAGGAGAGGCTACGCAGGAGTTACAATTCTGTGTCCATTTATCCAAGCACAATAATTAGTTGTGACATAAATCTGGAATTTTTACGACCTCTGTGAGAAATCAGTAAGTTCATCAGCGTTGAGGTCTTGGTATTTATTCCAGACAACTGTAAAATTATCGACTCTAATTGGTGGAGTTGGCAGTAAAAGAAAGGAGGATAAAGTGCTCCTTTGTTAATTCCATGTTCTTGAATACTCCCTCCACTCTAAAATAAGTGTCGTTAATTTAGTACAACTTTGTACTTAATCTGTGACACTTATTTTGGGACGGAGGGAGTACAGTTTCTCCGCTTCAAGTAGATATCCACATGAACGTGAACAAGAGCTGAAGTGCTAAATGAGGATTTCATTCATGACCCATCTCTGTCATATTTCTGTTAATTTTCACATCCTTCCAAGTTTGCCAAACTGCTGGTTAAACATGTAATCAGTCTCTCCATGCTTCATTATAAAGTAGTAGCAGAAAACTATCATTCTTCCCCACTCTCTGTGAACTTGTGATACCTTGGTCTATATACACAACAATTAGATTACGGAAGAGGAAAGAAGCCGTGCACAAAAGATGGATTAAGGAATATAAGTATTAGAGCACAAGAACTCAAGTGCTTCAATAAATTGACCAGCACAAATGATTAATTACTTCGATAAGAAGGTGCTCCACCTTATACAAGTATTAGAGCACAAGAACTCAAGTGCTTCGATAAATTGACCAGCACAAATGATTTTTTTTTGATAATATGGTGCTCCACCTTATATATATTCCAAACAGACTGAAACCTGACGCGGTTCACAGATGAGCATTTTAAGCATGTGTCTCTACATTTCAAGATGGTGATGTCAAGGTCATGCCTTGTTCTTAAATTTGTCAGATTCAGAAGAAGGCAAAGCAATTTTTTGTTTAAATAATTTAAGTCGAGACTTGAATCTAGGACCCATTGGCTTACGTTTTATGCACTAACTAGTAGAACCAAAAGTCGAGAACGATCAAAAAGATTGGACAATACATGTATACTTCAAGGGACATGTTGCAGATGTCGTGCAAGAGGTTCATGATGGTGGATTCATTTCCCCAATGCCGCTCATCCCCAAGGTATGGATACACTCCTGCATACTCCCTCCGTTCCTAAATAATTGTCTTTCTAGAGATTTCAACAAGTGACTACATACGGAGCAAAATGAGTGAATCTACACTCTAAAACATGTCTACATACATCCGTATGTTGTAGTCCATTTGAGATGGCTAGAAAGACAATTATTTGGGAATGGAGGGAGTAGAATTCTAGTAGTACGCTCTTTGCCGCTTTCTCCTTGAAAGATGTGAAACTTGGGTGAAAAGACATAAAAAAGGACCACCAAAAGACCACAAAGCTATCTGCTGCTTTACTTGCTTCACTACATGAGTTGTGTTACTCACTGCTGGATCAGTCTGATATATGGAGATAGAAAGGCAGGGGTGGTAATAATTGATGCGTTAAACAAGTAGGTGAACTTTATTTGTTGTATCAAATTTATCTAGGGTAGAAAGCTAGGTAGCTATTTTCATTATCCAAGTACAAACGTGGCATCTTTAGTTTTTTTTAAAAAAAATCAGAGGCATAAGCTTTGCCTCATCCTTAGGTAAGGGAGAAATAGAGAGCTGAGGTTACAATACACCGCTTACAAAAAGGGCCACTACTCTCCCGCTTGAGTTGACCCAAACGCTTTGCACCCGCGATGACTTAAAGTCTTGCCTCGTTTTTTATCCCTTCCATGAGAATTGTCAGAGGGACGGATCGGAAGACCCTCACATTCCTTTCAAATCCAACTCATGAACATGGTCATGGATGCCATCGCACTCCTGTTCGGAATGTTGCTTCGGACATATTGATCCACCAATCTTTTGTGGACCTCTCCAACGCCCAAGTGGCGGTGTCGATGTGTACAACTTGGAGCCAATTCCTAACCAAACCCCAAGCCTCAAAGTGTAGGTATAGATATACTACCAAATGCTGCAAGCTGAAACCTTACAATCTCATAACAATTTGCCGGAGAAGGATTGGTCCCTCGGTGCTAGGAACCTAGCTAATAAGGTGTTCACCGACCAAAGGATCTTAACCCCTCCATATGACTTGTTCCCGGACAATTGGGCATACAAGCCATCCAAGGTCAAAAGAGTTGGGTGAGGCGAGCTAGGAGTTCTAGAAGCGGCACTCGTGCAAAGAGCCCCGGTTCTACCAGGCCCAGGGGCAGATCCAGGGCCCAGGCTTGGGGCGTGAGGCCCAAACACATTGTATACTGTAACAGCTTACTGTACACATTTGCTACAGTGTACACAGGCAGCCCGGGGTGACCCACTGGGCTGGCTCCGCCCTTGACCAGGCCCTACAGTCTTCACCAACATCGGCGATACTTGACGGGGTGCATGGGTGCCATGTCTCCACAACTCGGCGGTTGATAGGCGATCACTCCCCAACGATAACAGGTTCTCCGTCCAACGAGGCACATGCGCCACATTACGAGGATTTAAGGCAAGAATTTTTGCCAACTCCAGAAACAGATGAACCATATACAGAGGTGGCTTCATGATCAAGGAGCGCGTAGTAGTTCAGTAATGCAAGCTGTGTGTAGGATGAGGCGCCAAGCCCAAGCCATCGTCCTCAACATGAGCGACAGACTTTGGCGCCTCGACGACAGTCTTCACCAACTCTTCACTTCCAGCAGAGGCATCCTAACAATGCCCCCACGCTGGAACCGATGCACATCTCATGGTTCCTCTAAAATTGTTAACAATCTCACCAGTATCAGTGTCTCTCACTTGGTGCTTGCTTCTGGTGTGCAGGAGTATCAAGTGCTGAAATAGAACTCTGTTAATTTCCCTTTTTGATATCCTTCTCGGGTCATCAAGTGAATCATCGTGGCTCCACTAGTCTCCATTTATGTGCACAAAGAGTTCCATACACTAAAAATATACATGCCATGTACGTAAGGCAGATTATTATGAAAGACCTTCAAAAGCTTAAAAAGGAAGAAAAAAGCCCCAAGTTCAAATTTCAGAGTCTGCTGTGGACAAAAGTGATGACTTCTCAAAATTGTCATAGATTCGCAGCTGCACTACATATGATTCAGCAGTTATCGTTCCTCGCAAAAAAAAGGTTATTGTTCGCATTGCATTGCACCGTCAAGTTGTGTAGCTCGCGACATCCTTCTATTGTCGCAGTCAATGAAACGACATTTTCATCGTGTGAACTTTACACCCTAAGAGCATCTCCAGCCGGCCCCCCAAGAAGCCTCCCCAAGCCATTTTTTGGGCGCCGGCGGATAAAAAATGACCCAGTCAGGCACCCAGAGACCTGATTTTCGCCGGATTGATGATATTTACGGCCGACACTCTCATCCCAAATCCAGCCCCCAGCGGGGCAGCTGGGGACGCCGGCAGTTGCCTTTTGCATGCACAGACCCACTGCCAGCCCCTCTCTCCCCCCTCTCTCTCCTCTTTCCTCTCTTTTCTCTCTCCTCTCTCCTCTTCCTTTCCTTTCACACCTACCGCACATAGTGCGCATGGCCGGGGCGGGGCTTGCGCTCGCGCGGTCAAAGCCGCCTCCCCCATAGCCCCGGCGGCCCGAAGCCTGCGGGGTCTGAGGCGGTGGCCGGAGACACGACCTCGGTGAGCTCCGGCGAGTCCTCCGTGCCCAGCGTGTAGTGCTGCCTGTTGCGGCCGGCCGCCCCCGCGCCTCCAGCCGGCTTCGCCGCCTCCGGCTCGCCGCTAGCCGGCACGGACTCCACCGCCTCGCCCACGACTTGCGCCGGCCCCATGCGCCGATGTGTCGCGGCGACGCGGCGGTGGTCATCGACCAGCGCGCGGCAGCGCGATCCCCAGCCCGGGCGGAGGCAGTCCACGGGGCGCAAGACGCAGCGCAACCATCAATCGAGTGCACGCACTGCCGCTGCATCATCGGTAACCATGGCCAGAACGCACGAACTGGAAGGAATCGGTTGATTCCAATCCACGCACACAGAAACAGGAAATTGATTCCTATGCACACACGCACGGGATGAGGATTTGGTCCACGACTCGGCCCCGCGCCGGCCCCGCTCCGCGTCACCGTCTGGCCTCCTCCGCTCCGCGCCGGCCCCGCTCGCCGCCTCGCGCCAGCCGGTTTCCCACTCGCCGGCAGTGGGGACGGGCACGACGGAGATGGAGGGGAGCTCGAGGAAGAGGAGGAAGCAGAGGTACCCCGCCGCCGCGGAGCGCTGGCCGGTTCGGCGGTTCGCGTGGTGGTGGCGGCGGGGATACGTGCATGGGGTGCAACGAGTGGATATTTTCTCGATCCCAGGCAAAAAAATTTGCCGGCAGCCTTCAAAAATGTTTTTGGGAGGCTCAACAGCTAGAGATGTTCTAAATATGTAAACTCCATGAATGATATCATGTTAATGCTGAGTATTTTTTTGTAACAAGCTTTTTTATTTCTCAGTGATGTGAAGCTTGGGCGAATAGATCAATACGATGATGTGTGAGACAAGTATGACGGCACTCCACTCAAAACCGTTGCATCAAAAATCAAGGCTGCAAAGCCGGAGGATAGCAGTGGCTGATATGCTGCACACATCGACGGCTGCAACAGAATCGGCAGCTGTCTGCAGTCGAGTACCATGTACACTACGGGTGCATTAAGGCTAAGAGCATGTCTAGTAAAACCATCAAACCCTTAAAGCAGTTTTAAGGGTTGCAAAGTGCCAGTTTTTGACATTTTTAAGGATTGAAAAACAGGGACAAAAATTAGAACCCTCAAACCAACCCTTAAACTGCTTTAAGAGTTGGGTTCGAGGGTTGTAATCTTTGCCTCAACCCTAATTTTTAAATCTATCATTTCACATATCACACATTTCATCACATTTCATCATATGACATATCACAAATTCCATC